GCGGGGCTGTGCTGCTCCCCCCGCAGCTCCGCTCCTGCCTTTCTCAGGCGCCTTCGGGGCGGGAAATCACCGCGGACGGGTTTTTCCCTCTCGGTTCCTCCTTCCCCGGAGCGCCCGGGGGCCTCTGCGCTCCCTGCTGGGGCAAAGAGCTCGTCTGGGCAAGCACCTGCCTGTTAGGATTTATTTATTTTATGTATTTATTTATTTATTTTTAAGGAGTGGAGGGGAAAAAAAAGTGATTTCCTTCCTTCTCTCTCAGTTGGGCAACTTCCGTCCCGCCCGCCCGGAGCTCGTCCTCGACCACAGGCAAGACCGACCCTCCTCCCTTTCTGCACCCCTTTTGGGTTTGGGGTGTTTTTAACTTGCCCAAAGGCAGGACGAGGGTTTTTCTCAGTTCACTATCAGGCACTGCCTGGTGTGGGGAAACCGAGCCGACGCCGTGCCTGGCTGCTGTCGGGGGGATTCGGGGGGCTGCCGGCCTGGGCCGGGTGAGCTCTTGTAGGGCCCTGGGTGCCCTTCCAGCCCCACGTGGGGCGTCACTCAGTGCCTTCCTCTGTCATGTCTGCATTATTCTAGTGCTTGGCGTTGCCAGGTGCCAGCTCCAGCTCCCTCTTGTAACGTATAATTTGGCATTCATATATATATGTTTATATATACGTATCTATTTTTATATATAAATGAAATAAAAATATCTTACCCCAGCAAGCCAGTAACCAAAGCTGAGCTAGAGATGCAAGGGTGAGGGGGTACAGTGAGCTGGGAGATGAGAAGCTGCTGAGGCCACAGATGAGTATTTAATAGTGTCACAGAATAGCGCTGAGAGGAAGAAAGAAGAGGAAGGTGGTAGTGTTGTATTGGGAGAAACTGGTGAGATCCTGTCACGGAGAGGGCAGCAGAAGAGGAAGAGGGGGTGAAATTGGGGAAGCGACAAAACCAATAAGATGTTGTGGTTTCGGTGAGCTGCAGGAGCCAATTTGCTGGTCTGGGAGATGGCCGGAGTGAAGAAAGAATAAGGGAAACAGTGAAGGAGGAAATGAGCCCAGTTGAGGAGACCCTTCCCAGGCACTGGGATGGAGGAAAACTGCTGGTAGGGGCACTGGTGGTGATCAGAAGGGAGACTAAAAGAAATGGACACCCCAGGAATACGAGGGGGCTGGCAAGTGGCCAGCTTTGCCACTGCCCAGGGCATTGCAAGGAGCTTACAGAGGAGCAGCCCTCACTTTTGGCTGGCGTCCGGCACAGCCATGCTCAGCCTGCCCCGACTGTCCCTTCAACCCTTGGGCCTGATTCTCATGTTGTTCTGCAGCTTGGGCTGGTAAAAATGGCTGATGGCGAAGAGGACCCAGCCGTGTTCACCTCCAATTCTCTGCCCTCGGACCCGCGGCTGCTGGCTACGGTGACGAACGCTTACCTGGGCACCCGCGTGTACCGGGACATCCTCCATGTCAACGGCGTGTACAACGGGGCAGCGGGAGACACGCACCGTGCCGACATCCCCAGCCCCCTCAGCGTGAGGATGACGGTGCCCGGTGCGGGGAGCCTGGCTGAGACCTTCACCTTGAACACCCGGATGGGTAAACAACAGAGCAGGGGCAGGAATCGCCCTGTCCTGCGGCCTCCCTTCAGATCTCTATCTCGGGTACCTATCGCTCTTTCCCTCTAACTGCTGGTGACCCTCTTCTAGAAGTTAAAAGTCTCTTTGCCCCCACTGCTTCTCATGAGGTCGCATCTTTCTTCTCCCCATTCTCCGTTCACCTGCCGGATGTTGTTGTTCTGAAGTTATGTCAGGGCGAGTGGAAATTCCCCTTTCTTGTGAGAATAAGCGTGATTTTTAGACTGTATCTCAATCCCTGCTGGAGCCAGGCTTGGCAAACACTGCTTAATCACGAAGCCTGATAGAATGTTTTATAGCACAAATCAGCGGCTTGGCCAGATTCAGCGTGACAGTGTTGTCTAGTCAAAAGCCGTGTTTGGATCTGGACCTGGGAAAAGTGGTTCCTTTGCCAGCAGGAACCAGTAGATAGGACAGAACATCAGGATCAAATGGCTGATGGCGCTCACTGTGCTTACAGGAACCTTCAGCCACATGCTTCAGGCCGCTGACTACGTGGCCACCCATCAGATCTATGCTCACCATTCCCTTGTCCACTTGATGGCCTTCAGCATCACCATCCGGCGAGCGGCTCGTGCCACCCAACCCATCACGGTCCAGCTCCAGACTCCTTTCATGCCAGAGAGCCAGGACTTGGACCTGAACCAAGGGCCGGACTTCCAGGGAGCGCAGTGAGTCTGGATCACGGGGGGGACCTTGCCTTGAATACATCCTTCATGGGCTGTTGTGTGCTGCCCTGCTCACCATTAGGAAATAAATTGCAAAATAAAGCTAGAGCTAGACTGGAGTGGTAAGTAGTGGGGAGGCTTGTGCAAATCTTCTGCTTCTGGCAGGTGTATATAAAAAAAACAAAATTAAGTACAGAAAGATTATTAGTTGCAACTCCAGAATTATTGCTCTTTTATGTGTAAGTAACAAAGGCAGCAGGGACTAGCTGTGATTATGAAGCAATAAGTTTGGGGAGGTAGTGGTTTGGAGGAGGTGGCCTCTAAAAATGCTTTGCTGGGTCTGAGGACCCGTCATAACGAATTTCAGCCTCCCACGTGGTGGGGGTGGGACGGCAGCTGAGCTGAAGTGTGGGGATGAGGGAGGTTCCGTCCTGGGTGGGAAGGGGAGCCTGGTGCTGAGCTGCTGGGGGGGTCCCCTCTGTACGGGTGGACATGCACAGAGTCCCATACACTCCGCTCTCCCTCCCCTCTTGCTCACCGTCTCCTACAGCTACATCTACGGGAAGACGCGGGTCCCCGAGGTGGAGGGGGGGCCCCGTCCCACAGTTCACATGCTCTGGACTCCCGTGCCACAATCCTTGACATTGCATGGGGAGGAGCGGGAGCAATCCTGGGAGTTCCTGACGGCTGTGGCTGAGAGCGAGGAGGAGGTGAAGAGGAGCTACAGCGAAGGGCTGGCCCTCATTGCCGCTGGCTCCCTGCACTCCTCGCACACCCGCGCCTGGGCTGCGCTGTGGGGGGGCTGCTGCCTCGACCTGGATGGGCCCCTGCCTTTGAGACAGGCACTCTACGGCTGCCTCTACTACCTGCTGAGTGCCATCCCGCCCCGCGGCAGCCCTGCCTTCCTCTTCCACGGCATCAGCCCCGGCGGCTTGTCCAACGGCACTCGGGGCGAGGACTACTGGGGACACGTCTTCTGGGACCAGGTGGGTGGAGTCCGCGCTGGGGACTTTGCACAGCGATCAGGATGGAGGCGGCTTGGCGGGAGGCTGCTGGGAGGCTCCTCTTTCCCCCCACGCAGGGGTACCGTGGCACCAGCCTTGTGTTGGGGAGCACCCTCCTGCTCCTTCCATAAGAGCGACCCAGAGCCAGCTCTATCCCTGGAGCCACTCCTCTGCATTGTCCTCTAACTCAAAAGCAAATTTCCCAAGTCAAAACCAGCTGCCTGGAGCTGCTGCATAGCCCGCAGGGGAGAGACCCCACTGCAGGGCAGCCCCCTTCCCCAAGCTGGGGTCTGGGGCTAAGGTAGTTCAGGTTGCTCACCCAAGGGACTGGCTTAGAGCATGGCCACCAGCTTCTAGCTGTTTAAATCAAAGCAAGTTGAAACCTGCGCTTCTCCTCCCATCTTTGGTGGCATCGGCAAGCCCAGTTGGCTGAACCACTGAAAAACCAGAAGTGTTTTCTGTGATGGGCACATTCCACTTTTAAATGCAGGCTTGGTGTGTACTCAGTAAGGTGGCTGGGCTGGGTGGTTTTGCTCTTTGAGCAGCCACGCCGGATGGATGCACAGCTCTGCAGCCGAATAGCGATCGGTGGCATGAGCAAAAAGCACTGCTGGGTGGTGCTGAGGCTCCTGTGCTAAACCTCGTCTGGTCTGTCAGTGGACATGGGCTTTTCAGTCCTCTGGACCTTGTGTGTTTTCTTCCCGGTGTCACATGTGGTTTTGACCTTCTCCAGAGCCTCTGTCTTTGGAGAACTCCTGCCTCCCTTCTCTTGCATGATGGAGGGTCCTGCTGATCTCATCCTGGTGAGATACCCGAGAGTGGCAGGCATGGACAGGAACGGTTCCTTGCGGATTTATCCCTTATAAGGAAGGAGCCCATGGGACAGCACCTTTAAGAAGTAGCAAAATCAGAGTCAGAGCCTTTGGGATGGGGGCAGACTTGAAGGGTGAAACTGGTGGGAGCATTTGTGTTCCCCACCAGCCGATCTCACCGCCTTGCCTTGCTTGGATGTCTCCAGGACACCTGGATGTTCCCGAACATTCTGCTGTTTTATCCTGAAGCTGCCCGAGCCATCCTGGAGTACCGGATCCGCACGCTGGAAGGAGCCTTACGCAATGCGCAGGAGCAGGGCTACGAGGTGGGGACGGGGTTGTGGGACTGAGTAGGACAGCAGAAGGGACAGCAGTGGGACAGCAGGAGGGCAGCTGGGCCTTCCTCTGCCTCTCTGGCTCCAGTTTTAGCCAGCGGCTGTGACCTCGTGCCTGCGGGCGGTGGGCTGGGGAGAGCGCCTCGAGGTGTTGTCCTCCGCTGCCTCACGGACGCCTTCTCCTGGCAGGGTGCGAAGTTCCCATGGGAGAGTGCAGCCACTGGCCGGGAAGTTTGCCCTGAGGAGATCTACGGAGCCCAGGAAATCCATATCACTGGGGACGTTCTGATGGCCTTTGAGCAGTATTACTGCACCACGCAGGTAACGGCAGCGCGTGCCACCTGGATGGCCCCGTGGCAAGGCCTGTGGGGTGTCTGGTGACCGTCACTGTCCCTTCCCAGAGATGCTCTGCTGTTGTCTGCTCCCATCAGCACTGCCGGTAGCACCCCAGGCTTCCTTCTTCAGCCCTACCTCCTCTATCCTTGCTCATCATGGGTGGCTCAGCATTCTGTTGGCTCAATCCAGGCCAGTTTTCTGACCTTTCCTCCTGCTACATCCATCTCCTTAAAGCTCCTGTCCTCCTGCTGAGTTTGGGTCTGGCTGAGTCTCCCTCATGTCCCTGTTTTTCTTTGCTTTTGGCTCCTTCCAGGACCAAAAGCTGTTCCGGGAGGATGGAGGCTGGAAGCTGGTGGGGGCTGTGGCTCAGTACTGGTGCAGCAGGATGGTGTGGAGCGAGGAGGAGCAGTGCTACCACATCAGAGGTACTTCTGCAATGGCCAGACCTGTTTGTAGGGAAGGGGTTTGTGAGCAGAGGCTCAGAGACCCTCCAGCCAGGCCTGGACAGGAGTACACAGGTTCTTCAGACCCTTGTCCTCTGGAATATCTCACAGATAATGTTTCTGTCCATGTGAACATGGGACATGATGCTCAGCTCTCTTCTAATGCCGCAGTATCTGTTGTTTGTTTTCTCAGCCCTTTGCCGCTCATGGGACACCTAAATTTCTCTTTCTATGGTGGTACAAGCTGATGCCACAAGCACGGGTGCTTTCAGATCTGCTGTTGTGGCACTTAGAGAAAACAGAGTGCAAGGGCTTTAGAGAGGAAGGATTTTTTTTAAGTCTTTTTCTAAGAAACCTGAATTTAAATCCCTTGGGAGCCTGCAGGAGTTTAATTCCTTGAAGGACAACTGGTGTTGTTGGTGCCGAACAAGTACAACTGCTGATGTGTCTGCAAGGCAAGGGGTCTCTTGGCAGGCAGCAATCCTGCTGAATCTCGTTATGTTAACGAGCACAAGTTAACACTGAAAGGGGACACTAAGGAAGGAAAGGAGAAGTGAAGGAGAGGTGTTTGTGGGAGGAGGGTTGGGAGGAGAAGGCTGGGATACAGCAGAGACGTCTCGATGGAACTGGGGTGATCAGAGCTGGAAGAGCCCCTGGGGTTGCTCCAGGCTGGGTCTTTGTGTGAAGACCCCTGGAGACAGCCCCAGTCCCCCAGAGCAGTCACATGTTTAAACGTCTATTTTCATGTTTTAATGACTTGATTGAATGACTTGAAAAAATAAATGACTTGAAGGTCACCTCGCCAGTGAAGTGAGGGAGATGCCCTCAGGTTGAGGCACCTGCTGCCCATCAGCCCAAGCTGTAAACTGGGTTGTTTCTCCTTCACAACAAGCACCACTTGGGTTCTCCTCTGCTGAGCCTTGCACCGAGGTGGCTGTGGGCTCCTGCCAGAGCAGAGGCAACACCTCGCCATGAGGGCAGGCATCGCTGCAGCGGGAGGGGTTCCCAAAGCCGTGCCAGACCTCGGTGTGCTGCGGTGTGAAGTGTCCCCTTCCTCTCCCCCCAGGTGTCATGCCCCCAGATGAGTATCATTACCGGGTTGATAACTCTGTTTACACCAACGCCGTGGCCCAGCGGAGGTAACACATGTGCCTTGCTGAAGCACTGGCCCATCTTTCTTCTTTTCTGCCTGGCAGCGTGGCAGGGCTCCCGCATGGGACACACCTTTCCTCTCTTCCTACACCTCTGTCTGAGCTGGTCTCTGCCTTTACAGTCAGTGGGAAAAAGTAGGGGGTCCCATGGTGGTTCATCTGACCCGTGCCAGGTGTCCACATGAGACTGAGAGGGGTTTCACTTCACAGGAGGGTTCCTCTCCCTGCATTTTATGAGATGTCTATGCAGTTAGCCAGCTGGAGACATCTAAAACTAGAGGAATGGACTCCCAACTCCAGCAATGAAAGCTGTTACCCCAGGCTTAATCTTTGACCTGTATTCTTTCAGAGTAGCTGTTTCTTTGCCATTATGGCTTAATTAGTTCTTTCTGTTCCCTTTCTTCTTTTCCCCTCTCTGAGGGGGTCAAGGGCACCCGTGCCTGACACAAAGCATTGTTCCTCGCTTCTTTTCAGCTTAAATTTTGCAGCTGATGTTGCTCGGGACTTCTTGATCCCAGTGCCAGAGGAGTGGGTGGACTGTGCCAAGAAAGTCAAAGTGCCCTTTGATGCGGAGAAGAAATATCACCCTGAGTATGATGGTTACAGCCCAGGTGAGCAGGAAGGCAGGAGCAGATCTTTGAATTGGCCACTGCTCGCTCTTTGTGAGCCTGTGAGAAGTGGGGACTCTGGTTCAAACACAGAAACAGCAGTGGAATGGTTGGCTGAAATAAAGACCTTAAGCATCGTTCTCCAGGTGCAGCAGTTGGGTTGCCAGTGTGGAGAGCCTGGCTTGTAGATGTTTTTTCTGCCTCTTAGTGGATCATTTCTCATTAGCAGGTTCATAAAATTAGGAAATTTGGGAACACAGAGAGTAGAATTAGTACTGGCTGCAGATGGCGTGGTTGCTGTGGACCCATTGCTGACAGTTGGGTCTCTCTTTCCAAGGTCAAGTGCCCTGTGTTGCCCTTCCAGCAGCCCCCGACCCTCTGGAAGTGTCTGGTGGACACATGCCCAGCTGACTGCCTCTTTTCTCACAGTTAGGGGCAGGCTAATCTGGGTTTTATGGGATGGTGGGAGCTATTCCTTTGCACCTGAAGTGCACCAGTCTGGGTGCCACACACTGGGGCTGTGCCAGCGTCCTCGACAGAGCTTCCAGCAGACACAGGACTGAGGACACAACATAAGCTGCTGGTCTGGTCTGCCTTTAGCAAGGCAGCAACAAGTTGTCCTCCATCCAGCTCCAGTGCCTTTTCCCTGTTGATGTGGCGCTTGTTCTGAGTTTATGGTTCTGTGAGTCAGGTTTGTTCCCCATATGAGTAAATACTCACTCTGGCAGTTATCCCCAGTTGGCATACGTGGTCTGACCTGCTCCTTTCCCCAGGTGAGCCTGTAAAACAAGCTGACGTGGTCTTGCTTGGGTTCCCACTGATGCACCCCATGAGCTCTGAAGTCCGGAGAAATGACCTGGAGATGTATGAACCTGTCACAGAGCTGGCTGGGCCAGCCATGACCTGGGTAAGGAGAGGGGCGAGGCCTGAGGTGGTGGTTTCCATCTGAGTGAGTCGCTGCTGGCCCCATCCGTGGGCACGACTGTCAGACCTGCTTTAAACTGGGAGTGAGGATGGTGCAGAGCTGGAGATGTGCACTGAAGAGGTCTGGTGTGGCTCAGGAGGGTGCAGCTGTGGTGTCACTCTGAAGCTGTTGCTGTGTTTCCACCCCTGGAGGACACAGCAGCGCGTGAAAGGCCGTTTTTCTTTCCTGCAGAGCATGTTTGCTGTGGGCTGGCTGGAGCTAAAGGAGGTGCAAAGAGCCCAGAGCCAACTCAACAAGTGTTTCAGCAACATCACGGAGCCCTTCAAGGTTAGCTGGGTGTCGTGGGTGCTTCCCTGTGACAAACATCTCCTGATTCTGTCTCACCTGTTCCCAAACATCACGCCAAGAGGTGTCCACTGGACTGGAGCCTCTGTGGTCATGAGGTTGCTGTTATACTGAGCTGGGTGCTCGCACATGCTGTCTCTTCTCCGCCTGCTTCCGAAGAGCAGTGAGGAAGCATCTGCTTCCTACCAGGCAGCACAAAGCCATGGAGCAGTGTTATGGTCACCCCGGGCTTCCCTCTGCCTGCCAGGGACAGGAAAGGGAACAGAGACGGTGGTATTGTGAGGCGCCTCAGAGCCCACCCGCCACCTCACGCCAGGCAGGCTGCGGGGCACAGTCATTGCAGCGCCCCAGATCGGCAAGAGGAACGAGGATGAGCCTGTTCAAACCCATGAAACTGTGAGGAGTCCAAAAGCAACTGTTGAGTCATTTCTTTCTCTTGCTGGGGCAGATCTGGGTGGAGAACTCGGATGGATCAGGAGCTGTGAACTTCTTGACAGGGATGGGTGGATTCCTGCAAGCTGTCCTCTTTGGCTACACAGGATTCAGGTGAGACCTGGGTTAGGGCATGTTTAATTTCTAGGCAGCTAACTGTCCCTCAAAACCTTACTGTTTAGCTGGAGCAATGTGGTTTTACTTGTGAAAAAGAAAGGAGCTTGCAGCATCCACAATATCCTCCAGAGCTTCCAGCAGGTAACAAACGAACAGGAACATTAATGATCCCAGATGAACGGCGGGTACTGGGGGCAGCCAGTCACTGGTGGAGAACAGGGTGGAATTATCAGAAAATGTAAACCAGTAAGAGACTCTCTCCAGGTCACTTGATGAGTTGGTTGTGTGTTTGGGAAGGTAAATGTCATTCCCTAAGTCTGTCCTCTGGTTTAGCTGTAACATCATCCTCCCTCCTTTGGGTGTGGTGTGGAAGGACCTTCTGCACGACCCCCCAGCCCCCCGAGGCAATCTGCCCGCTGCACAAGCCCCTGTGAGGGAAGTGCTCAGCTGGCATTGCCACAGCATTAAAATATCTTCAAAAAACCATTAAGCTGTTCATATAATTTCAAAATTTCAAAGCTGTGTCTTGTATCCAAAGCAGCCTGGTGGTTTCAATCCTGAAGCAACAGTTTGAGAGTATTCTTAGTTTAATTGAGGATGGATCAAACTGACAAGCCTTGTGATTTCCAGCGAAACCTCTGAGCACTAACTATGTGTTTTAACTCTCTGTGTGTGGCCAGAAGCTGCTGAGAAACCCACCAGTTTCTTGGTGGAGCTGGGTGTGAGCTACTGTGTTCCCATCTTAAAACCTTAATCTCAGCTTTTGCGAATCTCAAAGGTCTTCAGACACTCTGTGTGTGTGTCAGGTTGGGCCCCTCCCAGCACAGGCTCAAGCCACGGGCTTTCGGGCTCCAGCCAAATTTCCACAGATGTCGAGGTGACATTTATGCCGCTCTCAGGGCCGTGCCTGTTTCATGCCTGTTGTAAGCCACAGACCTGACTGGAGCGTTGGCCTGCCGCTGAGGCTCTCCAGTCTCTTGAGCCTCTCTTGAGCCCTCTCCAGACCATTGAGCCCTCTCAACAGACTGGAGATGATGGTCAAGAGCTCTCATGTATCAAAATTTGTGTAGGAGATAACGGTGACCACTGTATTTTCTCATCCAAAGCCAGAACTCAGAAGTGGTCTCTGTTTGACTTTGGGTGAGGACTTGGAGGGAGGATTCAAGCTTGTTTGCTTGATTTTTATCTTTTGGTGACGAAGCACATATAGCACTGCTGAGTTTAAAGCCCTTCAAACTGGCAGGAATGGGAGCTGATGGGGGTTTCTGAAGGTCACAGCCCAGAGGGAAAGTGAAAACTGGGCTGTGCGGATGCATCTTTGTTGAGATGGCAAATTACAGAGGGGAAGGGCAGTGCTAGTGGTTAGGCGTGTCTCGTGATTTAGTGAGCAGCAAGTCCAGGAACATCTGCACTGGGCGTGAGGTGAGCTCCTGCCATCTCACCAGGGTCACAGACCTTTCCAAGCAACAGCAGCTGGGGGCAGACACTTGCTGCTGGTATTTTGGCTGAAGCTGGACTTGCATCCTAAAATGCCCAGCTCCAGCCCTCTCCTGAGCTTCTCGTGTGGCTGGAGTTTAGTTCCATCGCATGGCATTTAGTCTCAGTTTCAGTGGTAATTCCTGCTCGGGGTCTTTGGCCACCTCTGCCAGGTCCTGTGCCCTGTTCTCCATCCCATCGTGGACAGGGCTTTCCCAAAGTTCTGCCACATAGCTGCTGCTGAAGCCAACCTCTGAACCAGACTGGGGAACTGAGCTGTCTTGGAAGACAAAAAAATTTTTTTTTCTCTTCTTTTATTTAAAAAAAAACCCCAAAACCTAATAGAAACCACAGACCCCAGCTGAGGAACTGGGAGTGGGACAGGAACACCTTAGGGTGCTGGGCTGTGAAATCACAGCTCGAGTAGCCCTTCACCAGGCACTTCATCAGCGCGTTTGGGATTTGCCCGGAGATCCTCGGGATATACCAGGGACTCCCCCTGCCCACAGATCCCTCGAGCAGCAGGAGGGCCCCAGGGCTGTGAGGCTGCACTGTCTGGGGAGGTGGCCGACCCCACAGAGCTGCTTTCCTCTGGGGCCACCCTCTGCTCCCACCGCTGACATGCTCCTGCCTTTCCAGGATCACAAGGTCCAGCCTCCGCTTCGACCCAGCCTTTCCCCATGATGTCAACAAGTTGAAAGTCACCGGCGTCTCCTACTTTGGCAACAAACTGACGTTCACCATCACCAAAGAAGAGCTCAGGATTGAAGTGACCTCGTCTCCCCAGGACCCTCGGGCACCTCCCCTGGAAGCTGTGCTGGAGGAGTCGGGGCAGCAGTTTCCCCTGCGTGAAGGTGTGGTATTATCACCTGCTCTGCTTCTTAAAATAAAGGCAACTTGGGGATAAACCATTCCCGTAGCTCACACGGGTTGTTTTTTGTTGCAGGGCAGAGTGTCTCTTTCCCCACCGCGGCTGGCTGGATTCAGAGGTCGTCCACTGAGACATTTTAAACCTTGGCTGGTCCAGGTTTTACCCACTGAAGCAGCAGGAAGAAGTCGAAGAGCAGATGTTGGCAGAGGGGGAAGGTAGAGGTGGGTGGAAGGGGGGGTCCCAGCTGGGCCACAAACCCTCTGGGACTCAGCAGCTCCCTGAGTGATGCTGAGCATCCTTGTCGGTGCTGACTCCTGTTCACACGCCTTCAACACCTCTCACTTAGCAGAGGAGATGAAATCAAGCATGAAAGCGACTGTTTTAAATGAGTTTTCTAAATACCCATCACTTGTTTATGCACTCAGAGGGACGTCCCTAGCTGAATGGATCTGGTCGTAGCCCAGCCCCTGCCTGCGCTGACTCCCAGCTCCTCCAGTACCTCCTGGCTTGGTTCTTGCCTCCTCCCGGGCCCACTGCCTCACTCTGGGGACTCAAAGGGCTGGGGGTCTCAGCCACCTCTGCTTCGCGGTGTCAGCCCTGATGCCAGTGAGCAAAAAGAGGGGGATCAATAGGCTGAGCAGCCGCAACCCCCCCAATCCTGCTGACCCCCATAATGAGGAACTCTGCAAAGACTGCGTGGGGCAGCAGGCAGAGTGGGCAGAAGTAAGGCTGGAGCTGAGCATTATTTTGCACTAATATTGAACACCAAATCCACAGCCAAAATCATTTTAGCCCTCTCGGCACAGCACACAGCTCCTTTTCTTTTGAGTTATTCAGCATATAACTTCCCTAACATTTTTTAAGCCCTTATCTAAGTTATCATCTCTCTTTTCAAGCAGTTTGGGACTTAAAACCCTTCTAACTTGATGTTTGAAGGGCTAGTGGAAGCCCAGGCATGTTTTCATTATGTCAGATGAGAAGGTTTTTGGGGGCTGAGCAGAGTCCTGCAGCTCAGGAACCTCAGGGTGAGCCAAGACCTGCTGTCTGTTTGCTTAAGGCATTTTCCATGTGCTCGAAAGCCCCGGGGGATGGAAGAGGAAGGGCTGTGTCCAGGTACGCACTCAGGGAGCAGGATGCACCCCATACCCAGCTCTGCACCCGCAGCGTCCTCCCGTCCTGCATCCCTCAGCCTGGGGCGGGCTGTGGGGCCTCGTTTCCCAGCCCCACGCCTTTGCTAGCGCAGACTTGGGTCAGAGCCAGGGAGGCGGGAGGCGTTCCCTGCCCCCCCCCCCGGGCTCTGTCCTCTCTAAGCAAACCCCAGGAATCTCGGCCGAATCCTGTGGAGTTTATAAAAAACCTTGCGGCTGCTCCCTGCCGCCGGCAGCATGTGGGAACGCTTAGGGATGGAGGCAGAGCTGCTCCCCAGCTCTGTAATTAGACTGGCTCTCCCTCAAGCCTCCTCAAAAGTCACCCAACCCCTCATTAGCAACAGTTTTTGGCAGCAGGGCAGGACAAAGGGACCTCTCCCTCCCCAC